TCAGATACTACAATGCACAAAGACTATTTTTATGAGATATATGAAAGACAAAAACCCATGGGAAGAAGAAAGGTTCAGATCAACAACCAATTAAAAAAAATCATGAGAGAGAATTTAATTATTAACTTCCAACTAGGTGCCACATATGCTGTATTTTTCCCAGTTCTAGCTTCTTCTGAAGATAATAAATGTCAATATGCTTATAAATTAAAAAAACCCAAACATTTGTGAAAACCATGAGATATGTTTTTGGTTTATCTGAAATCGTATCTCAACTGCTCTTTGGAATAGTCTTATAAAATCACCTTGGTACAGCACGGTACTGGATACATGGATAACGTTATGTCACCAAACACAAGGAAATGTGTGCCACTGCTCTCACTGATGCCCAGGCTCAGTGCTAACAAAAATAGGGCATATTTGCCCTTATTCTTCCTTGGCCCTTTCAAAGATACTGAAATGTTCAGTAGAACTGCGAATTCAAAAAAACGTGTGTTATTGCTCTTTCATAGGACTCTTCAAAGTAAGAGGCAGAAGGAAAAATACACACTTAGTAGTACTGTGACTGTCTTCCCTTAGACCGTCAAAAACACACCACAGCAAGCTTTCCTTTGAAAGTGTTTAAACTAATGTTTTCCTTCAGCTATGTTCTGAAACTGACAGCGTCCACAGTATGATTTTTTCATGGCTTTTTCTAGGGAGATCTTTGATCTTTTGAATATTTTCTTAAACAGTCAAATCATCAATGTAAAAATGTAACTAACTTGACATATTACAAATACAATTTAGCAACCAAAGATCTTCAAAAGTGGAGAAGCCCATCAAAAGCAGTGGCTACAGTTTTGGCTTCCAACTATACTGCTCTGTAATTGACCAGCTTGCTTGAACTATAGAACTATAAACATAAGAAGTCATATTGATGACTCCGAATACACACTTGACTAAATTAAGGTATTCAATAAAATATGCAGCTGTGGCTGCAGCTTTTCCAATGAACATCTTTTGTCCTTGAAAACTAAGACTACTTTGGTGGGGTGGGGAGACTGAGAAGAACAGAGGATATTGGTGTAGTGAGTAGTACCAGTCAGGGGTAAAAACAGGATGGAAGAGAAATTTAACATCATCACTGGATATTTTTCATGTGTGACATAAGGAAATTAAAAAAATCCAACACCAAAAATCATAGCAACAAACTTCCCTGTTGCCTTAACACTAGTTGGTTTTGTAACACCCAAAACCATACCTCCCGTATGGAGCACATCAGAAATGTGTAACAGCAATCTTTTTTTCTGCCAGATGGATAAACACCTCAAACACACCCACAAATACTAATGGAAACCACCTTGGCCTCCTTCAGGAAGTCATTCAACACTTCACAGAAAAAATAGGAAGTTGTTGATAAACTGCTTGCAAGAACTACTTCCTGTAGGAAAAATAATTACAAGACTTGTTTGCTGGACAATCAGTTAACCTTTCCTCACACTACAACACAAGAAGTAGTATTACAAAAGCTCTATAAGAATTAAAAGCATAACTCTAATTTAAAATTATACAAGAGTAATTCTAAAACTGAGCAAAATTTGTTTATTCTTTCTGCAAGCTGTTGTCTGCTACTCCCATTGCACATTATCTTTTGCCTCGAGAGTGATTCCCTATCTTTCTGCACAGTTCACCGAAATGTCAAGCAGCAGCTGGCTAACAGGAAGTGGTTAAAAAGCAATGCAATTGACATCACCACACAAACCAAGCTCGGCTTTTTTACTGTATGTTTAAGAATGGGCTACACCAGTGAGAGATGACTCAGATGTGACCACTTACTAACAAGCAAGTCTTAACCTACAAGCTCCACTGAAGGAGCAGTATCAATAAAAAGTAGTTTTACCAGCTGTACAGTAAGCAGGCCTTAACCCACTGCTCAAAATCATCGCTAAGGGAAAATGAAACTCACCATTACTACTCATAACAGTGAGATGAATGCTAATAAGTGAAATTCTGGCAAATCATTGAATGTTGGGTATTCATACGTAAGGGGGTCTATTTATCCAGATGATAGACTAATTTACAAGAGTAGTTCTTTCTGGTTCAAACCCTATAGTACTGCTCCCACCTTCTTTTAATGTGTATGGCTACAGGGGGTGTGTATATAAAATATTTGGCTAAACAACTCTTCATCTATCTCTATAAATACACACACACACAGACGATTAACTATTTTCTCTCCCATATACACTATTTTCATTTCTTTCCACAAATTACTGTGTTTGCAGTGCTTGACCCACTGATTAGTGGAAGCAACTGTAATTCCAGAGTGTATTAAGTATGGTACTCAATTTTGTATTATTCTCTTTGCACTGTGGCATATTATGACAACTATAACCATAAGGCTTACTGACATCTGGAAAGAATCTAATATTGTTACCTATTCTGTAAAGATCTTTCTAGAGCCTGACTGCCAGACTGTTCATGGAGTAGCTACAGAACAGAGCAAGTGGAAACAAGGAGCGATGCAGCCAATGAAGAAAAAAAGCTGAATACTTGAAGAGACACTAAAAATCTGCATATGATAGAAGGAACCACATTAAAGGTGATTTAGAATCAGAAATCTTAGTACTCACACTTCAAGCAAATGTTTAAGGTATAACCAGGCAAGATGTGAGCTTTAGCAGGCTTGTAGGTGTGAGCTTATCACTCATCACTGAAAAAAACAAACTTGCTACTCAAAACTAGTCTTAAATTTCTTTGGGTTTCCTACACATACAGAGGAAACATTGTGCTAGTACTTTAAATGCTTTTTACAAATCTAAAAAAACTCCAATGAAGTTGGTGGATCTCACCTGCATATAGTATTAAGCAACCTTTTATGAACAAATGTTCTTCAAGTGTGAACAAAGCTGTCCTCATTAGACTCTTCCATACCAGAGCATCACCCAAGGAAAGCCAAAAGGAAACAGCCCATTACACTGTTTAAAATCTCCCAAGGTCAGCATGTGACCCAGCAGGGAGAGGTTCAAAAAGCACAGCCTTTATTTTTTTTCCTAACAACCTGGTTTGTTTCCACTCCTTTCCCCTTCAAGACACATCCTTCACAGCTAGCAGCTCTTTCAATCATTTACTTTGGATGTCTGCTTGAGAACAAACGATCTTGCTCATGCAGATGAGTTTGCCAGACTTGTGTGTACTTTCCAGTCTCAGGCTCTTTATTGTTCTTGCTGAAACCTGACCCTTTGAAATGGATACCAGGACACCAAGAAAGGACAAAAAAACTTGCAAAAGAAAAGGAAAGGATTTTTGTGGTAATAATCAAACTGCAGAAAAAAGCTTTCCAAGAATAAATCTTTCACTCTGATTTCACCTGAATGAGCACAATTAAAAAAATTCATTAGAGGGGCAGGAAGACATTTTTTGTCTCTTAAACTCTTTCATCTTCTGTAAAATTGACAGTGCTATCAAGAACAAATACTTGTGGCAGTAAAACTTTAAAATCAAATATCTATTTTTCATGCTTCATAAGGGGCTCTTTAAGAGCTCTCACTAACACAGTCAAAACAAAAGTTTGCTTTTCATTTCAAAACTCATTCTGTTCTTTCCTCAAGGTTCAATGAGCTACAGTTCTCAAACGGCATAAATTACACAGTTCAAAAAAACTTCTACTTGTGCCTGCTGAAGAGCTCATATTCTAGAACACACTGATCTGTTAAACTTCACCAAAGAAAATATCACATCTTCAAGATCTACAGCTAATGCTTATTTTCACATTTCTAATAGAGAATGATTGTTCTCAAAAGGGAACCTTCAGGCTCAAATAATTTCAGACAACTTCTGCAACCTCTTTTTGGTTGAAAAAGGCTAATTTTTCTGTATGGAAATACCTCAGCTACAGGAGCAAGAAACGTTTTTAAGAAGTTCTGCAAGTTCAGTTTTCATTGCAGACAGTGTAAGTTTGTTATTGTTTTTGAAGCTACAAGCTCAACTACTTCAATCAGATGCAGGTATTAATCACAATATTGGAGTGAGAAAGGAAGTAAGAAATAGTTTTTCTTGGGTGAAACAAGTTTTCCATAAGTAACACTATGTTACCTCTCCCCACCCTGCAAATGACATATAATGGGTAATTTAGAGACTTGCTGTTAAATAAAAAGTTCAAATTATAGTCAAAGTATTTGAGGGCAAGTTATGGTCTTGGTGGGCACATTTTCAGAAAGAAGGACAAGTCCCTGCTCTTTTAGAAAACTGCACAGAATAAAAGAAAGTGCTTCCTGATGGATTGGATGTCAAATGGATGGCATGTCTAACTTTCTTCAGTTATAGAAAAGGTGATACTAATTTCACTGTGTGGAAAAATTGCAGCTCTAGGAACATGAAACAATGTTAGAAATTCTGAAATTGCCTTTTCATTGCCAGGAATGTAGATGAGTTAATTTACAAACACAAATACTGTAATCAAACACATATGTTAATTACCTCAGGAAGAGAGAGTAGGCAAAAACATTTTGGTTGTGTATTTAAACAATTGTTTTTAATCAAAGCATAAGAAGTCCTGACCTACTATCACTACAATACTCTCTAAAGTTAACTCTGTATTTTTACATCTGTATTATTAAAAGGAGGTAAAATGTATCCTGACCACCATGACGACTCTGACAATATTCAGCAAATCAAAAAGTGTCATTGTTCAAGAATGACTATGCTAACTTCACTGATTTTTTTAGTACACAATATAATGGATGACATTCTTTAGCTAAGATTAAGATAGGACAAATATTCACAGAGTACCATACAGTTTTCAGAAACAGCAGAGTTGATATGTGAGAAATACTGAAGTGGTAGGGTCCCCTACTTAAAATCACAAGCATGTTTTTAAAAATACATATTTTAAACACAATGATATTTTCTGAAATTCTAAGATGGTAAAAACATATATATCCCAAAAAAAACCAAAAAACCCAAAAAAAACCCCACCAAACTAGAGATACAGCTAATTGAAAAGAAATTTTACTTACTTAAGAAAGTATCTCTGTCCAGATGGTGTCTTAGCCATCTCCCAACCTGGTGGCAAAGGTACGTCATCAGGGATCTCAAAAGAAGACTGGCGGAGGTGTTGAGAAGATGGAGCTCCAGGTCCAGTCACTACTCCAGAGGGTGTAAGTGTCCCTGGAGAAACAGCTCCCAGCTGCAGTGATGCTGGAGAGGAATGAGCTCGGACATGCTGTGGGGTCAGGGCTCCTGCTGTCCCGGCATCAGTGCTGGCCTGCCAGGAGTGAAATTATTTTTATTAAGATTCCTATATTTCAGTAGAAATGCAGCTGTCAGAAGACATTTCACTTTAAATGAACGTTTCAGGAGAAATTCATAGCTCAGTTGTTCTAAAGTTCTGCTTATTTTCCAGTTGTTACTGTTCAAGCAAGCCTCCACGTAGTTTGGTTAAAAGCCCCTGTGCAAATCAATAAATATTAACTGTACGTGTTGAGAGCCCTTAGTTTTATTTTGAAAACTAAAGCTCTTACTCCTCAGCACAGGGTTAAGAACAAACCTGCCTGCAGTCAGCAGATCTCATCCAGTGGTTTGTTACTGGACTGCACCCACTCCCTACCATCACACCCACTTTCTGCTGGAGGAGTTAACTTCCCACTCTCCTTTTCAAGTGGGGGTGTGGGGATTCAAGTAGACACACACACCACCACCCTGCCGCCCCCCAGCCCGCAGGGATTAAAAAGATCACACAAAGAGAAAAGCAATAGTGAAATGCCAACTGGCAGCAGTGAGCTCCAATGGAGGAAGACTCACGAATTCAACCATTAAAAAATCTAAACAAGAAGACCAAACATAACATTTCCTAATAACTCAAACTTTTAAGGGTATAAAGAGTCTGTCCATGTTTTATCCAAAGCAAAGCTTCAGCAAACAGCTGAACCAGTCAATCACAAATGACTCACAAACTCATTCACTGGAGTCACCACTCATAAGTACACAGAAAGTCCTTGCCAGTACTCAATACACGTCCAACATGGAACAGAAAAGGCAGCTCTGAAAACCTGGTTAAAGTAAAATTGGCTTAAAAATATATATTTACCAATTAACTGGTTTTATAGACAGACCAGAACAACACTGACACCTACAATGAGATGCATGTATGCGTCCCTGTCACACCTCTCTACACAAGGTATTACGCCGAAGGAGGCCCCACTTACACCCTCTTACAGTTCTGCTTCACTCCATCTGTATGCAAGCACACATGAAGTTTCATGTGTTCAACTGGAAACAAATCAGTTTGCACTTACATCCAGACAAAAGAAGCAAGTAGTAAGTGCAAATAAATATTGCAAATCAAGCGGATTTGCAATATTTAAATTCATGAGAATCACAGAATGATAGAAAAGAGAGACCTTTTCTTTAAGCAGAATGTTTATATGGCACAATTGAACAGAAAGGAAAAATGAAAACAGTCCACAATGAAGCAAATGATTGATTCTCTCTTGCCTTAGCTGGATTTCAAGTTTATGTTTTAGGAACCACTGAGTGGTACAAGGAACAATGATCCAACTAAATATGCTTTACAGACAAAGATTAACATACACAAGGAATATAAGGCTAAGCCTAAAAGTACAACCAAAAGTTGTATGACCATCACACACTTTTAGTGCATTTCAAACACGACAGCTATTTAACTGCAGTTACTGTATTTAACAAAACACAGCACCAAGTGTTAGATGAATGTCTACCCATTCAGATTTGTACACAATGGAACCGCGATGAGATATGCACAAGCTGGGAGAACACTATATATAAACCCCTTATTCCTTGCTGGATTTCAGTATGTTATTAAAGGTCTGCAACTCAGAAGCTAGCAAAACTACAGAAGCAGATCAGCTCCACTCCTTCCAATTTTCTTTTCAGTCTTGCTATATGAAGGCCAGACTGCTTTTTTGAGTATTTGGAAAATGAATTAACTGCTAGGCTGGGAGAGTACGTGCCAAGGTTCAGCCTGGAATGAGCTTCTGAAGTCAAGTTATAAATCGTTCAAAACAGAAGTTTAATAATGGAAATGTTGACAGACCCTTAACAACGCGGGTACCAGGCACCAGTACACAGCGAGTTTCACCCTTATTGGCTTCATAGATAAAGTGACAATAGCCAATCATAAAACTTATTTTATAGCTTAGCAACTAAGTTCATTACTTAATAACACTTGACTAGACATGCACAGTCTCCATCCAAAACGCTGGTTAACAGCATTAGCTTTCGCTCGTATTCACACCAACACTTAGGTCTTGGTAAAAAAGTCCCTCTGCTTAAACACCAAACGCTCCCGGAGGCCGAGCGACGACCCTGCCCCGCACACCCCACCCCGTTCCTCCTCGGCCCTGCCCCCGCATCGCCCCTTCCCCCCGGCCCTGTCCCGCCCCCTTCCCAGCCCTGCCCCGCATCCCTCCCCCGCTCCCTGCGCGGCCCTGCCCCGCATCGCTGCCTCCCCCGGGCCGGCACGGCCGCGGCCCCACGGCTCCGAGCCCCGGTCCCAGGCTGCCGCCGCTGCCCTGGATGCGGCGCTGCGCCCGGCGGACCCTGGACGCCGTCGGACCTGGCGTCTGCCTCGGGAATTAGCTTCGGATGTGCGTGCGTGTGGATGTGGGGGGGTTAATCCTACCCAACCCAGCGCCGTGCTGAAATGGTGGAAAAGTCACATCCATATTTACTGTCTGACGGGGCGAGGGGGTGTGGGTTTGGCACCACTTCATCGACCCCTTCCACAGAGAGCAGGGAATTGGACCCCAAAGCGACATTCCAAGCGAAGCCTTTTCACCCAAGTTTTAGGGGCTCACTCCCACTGTCGCCCTCCCGGTGAGGCCGAGAAAGCCAAGGAGCGGATGTGGAGTTCGAGGCCCCGCTGGAGACCGGGACGGGGCCAGCGCTCGCCCGCCCTCCCGCCGCGGTCCCGGCCCCGTCGGCGTCTCGGGGCGCGGGAGGCGGCCCTGCCCCAGGGGAAGAACAAATAAAGGGGTGTGGGGGCGGCAGAGAGCGCCCCGACAGCCCCGGCCGGGCGCCCCCCGCCCGCTCGGCCCCGTGGATTCCCGCCCCGGCCCCCTCCCCCATACGCCTCCCCCGGGAGGAGCTCGGCGGCGGGGAGGGGGAACACGGCCCGGCCGGGCCGCCCCCCGCCCGCCCGCGGCGCGGGTCCCTTCCTTCCCTCCCCCTCACCTGGCGGGAGTGGGCCTTGGGCTCGGGCGGCTTGAAGAAGGAGTCGGGCAGTTTCCGCAGTCGCATGGGCAGCGTGTGTGGCACGTTGGCGCCCTTGGGGTTCATCACCGCGTTGAACAGCGCCTCCAAGTCGGTCTCCGAGTCGCCCCGCACATGGACGATCTGGTGCCCCGCCGGAGGGGGCCCCGCACCCGGGGGCTGCGCCGCGCCGGCCGGGGCCCCCGACACCGGGCCAGGGGGCTGCGGCGGCGGCTGCTGCTGCTGCGAGGCCGGGGGCTGCGCTGCCTGCGGCGGCTGCTGCGTTTGAGGCTGCCCAGGATCCATGGCTCCGTCGGGACCCCCCGGCGCTTCCCTGGCGGGGCTCGGCGGCTCAGAGCCCGGATTCCCAGTCCCGCATGCCCCGCTCCCCGGGCCGCGGGCTCGTCCTGCTGTCGCCGGTGCTTCTCACCCCTCGGTCGGGAAGCCGACCCGCCCGCGGCAACTGGCAAAACAACTCTGGCCGTGCGGCGTTTCCCCGAGCCCGGCCCAGCCCGGCCGGCGCCTCTGTCCCGGCGGCGGAAACTAACTCACACAACACACCAAACAAAAGTTCGCAGTTACGCCCGCCCGAATCACTCTCCGCCGCCGGCTCCGCCCCTCCTGAGCCCGCCCGCACCGTATCCGACGGAGGGAGCCCGTGCTCGCAGCGCTCCTGCGCGCGCCCGCCCGCACCGCCTCCCGCCCGGGGCGCTGCGCGGCCCCCCCGGCCCCCGCTCCGCCCGCCGGCACCGCACCGCCCCTCGCTCCGCGCCCGCCCGCGCCTCGCCCGCCCGCCTGCTGCCGCCAACCAGAACTTTTTTTTCTCCCTAACTTCTATCCCAGTTTCCAGGAGGCCGCTCCGCGAGGGGGTGGGGAGGGGCGGCCGCGCTTCCCTGCCCCTGGCCCGGAGGGGGCATCGGCCCGGGACCCCTCCCGCCCGTCCCCTCCCGCGCTTTCTCCCGGTTCCGCAGAGCTTTCATCGACTGCAGAGCCTCCCCTGCAGTTACGCGTCGCGGGTCTGTAAAGCTGGCTCATAAAAATGACGAGACCTCTAGAGAAATACTTTTTATTAGATAAAAGGGGTGAGGGAAGGGGGAAACGGCCAAGAAAACAGCTTCAAGAACTATAAATACCGGAAAACTTTTGTCACTAACCACATAGTAACATCTGAGTGAAGGGGAAGCACTTCCGAGCACGTCATCAAGAAGCAAAGCTTTCCTCGTCAGAAAACTATGCAATGTCTACCTGAACCCAACAGAAAGAAGGCAACCTCCATTATAAAACTGGGGACCAGACAGGTTTATAACTAGTTTGTAAACAGGCCTCCACCAAAACAGTGATACAGGATATTCACATGTCGCTTGCAAGGATCCACAATCAAGTAGGCAAAAGTCTGTTGGTGGCTTTTGCTTGAAGGGTAACACAGGCCATTAGCATCCTGAGAGGAAGAAAGAAACAGAACAGTATTAGGGACAATAGGGATATCTGCAAGAGAATTAATAAAATCTGAAGTTAATAATTTTGTTCCAGTTGTAACTGTTCATTGCACAGCAAAATAGAACAAACACACCACAGTTATTTAAATTGTGTATGTCCCCATAAGGATCCTAACAATATGAAATGCTCAGTAATTCTGGCTAGATGTACAAATAACCTTGAGGTAAATGTAATATTAATAAAAAAGTGTAAAATTAAACATATAATCATGTGTTTACACAATTAGATCCTAAAATACAAATGATTAAATATACAACAGCCCATCATGTTTCCTTTGAAACAGAAAAATAATCACTTACTCTATATTAATACATAAAGCTCTTCCATCCGTAATTTTTTTTATTTCACTTAACATTTGCTAATGCATCTGTTCAGGTTCCAATATTTGCATTTAAGCAAAACGCTTATTACAGATCACATTAACAACTTGGACCATTATTGGAAACATTTTGTGTGCCAGTCCTCAGAAAGGGTTTGAAGGTATTCTAGACACATAGCTGCAAAATCCTGGTTCTGAAAATAATACATTCAGCTGACAATCAGCAGGGGAGCTGGGCTCTTCACATTAACATCCTACGTCTGCACATGTCAATAAAAGCTTCGGTGTTGACAGAACAGCACAGCTGGACACACTTCAAATCCAGTAGGGATCCAGAAACTAGATGGAGGGATTTTTAAAGCGTTGGGGGTTTTTTATTTAGTCAGTGTGGTAATTGAACATATGAAAGACCAATAAATATGTAGCTGGCACTTCCTTTCTTTTAAAACTTGTAACAGTTTCCTCCTGCTCCCCAACACCTTTGTACAACAGTTGAAGAGATGTGGGTTCTGTTACACTTTTCCTGCTTAAGAGAAATTGCTACATTGCATATATTTTTCATTTTCTCCAGGAAAATTTTAAACTCAAGACTACAGACTATTCCAGATTTCATATCTCTCGCATTCTTCTGTTGAAGCTGTCTTCCTTTGCATAAAATAATCTGTCTTTTTTTGGACCAAGGAAACATGAAAACTGTAACCTCTCTCAGTGGTTAAGTCAGTCAGCTGAGAAGGAAAAGAGCTGGGTCCCCATATCTGCACCAAGGACCATTTGTTAATTTTATCCTTTAGCTTTTACTGGCACCCCATTTTCTCCTGCTGTTTCAAAGAGAATGAATCCATTATTAGATGTTTTGGTGTCTTCCTTTGAGGGATTATTCAAACCCCTAAATCTTAAATTAAACTAAGCACCTCATAAAAGCACTGTTTTAGACAGGTAGAGATTTGATAATGTTTATTCCCAGAATTTTCCAATGGTAGTCAAATGCCACAAGCTAGAAATAGCATTCTATTTTTAAGCGGCACAACATACAAGCTCTGTATCTCCAATTGTAGGATACCTAGCTTTCTTCAGGTGTTTTCTAAGGATACATGTGCAACGAACATTGGATTCTCAACTGCAGTAAAGAGAGCAAATTTTCAGATTTTATACTGCTCAGCATCAAAAAGCCTTTGCAATTTGATCCAAAAATAACCTAAGCTCATGCATGTAACTGAAGAAAAAAAAGACAACATCAACATCAAGATGTGATTGCTAGTTAAACTCTTTTCCCATTGCTACCAAGGATCCCACTCCTGCAGTCTGTGTGGAATTGATGGATAGCAGTTGAGGTTTTGGCTGTTTAGAGGCAGTGTGAGCCCACTACAGATTTGTTCAACAGCTCAAGAACAAAACCAATGTAAGTTCTGGCGATGAGGCATTTCAAGCAATATACCAAACTTGGTATCAGGAAAATAATCAATATAATCTAATTAAATGAAAAGGTCCTTAATTTTAATTAGCAAAAGAGATCATAAAACCCCTAAAATGCTTGAGCATAAAGGCTTTGATATTTACATTCATGCATGTACAGAAGTTAAGAATCATACCAATTCCATCTGCAGTGTGGACTTTGGTTCACACATGCAGGGGGTGTAATGATTGATTTACTGATGTTAGAGAAGGATAATTTTATTTTTTTCTTTGTAGCAACACAGCTGATGATTTAAGAATACATATGCATAGCATAAAAATACTGCTGAACATCCTCAAGACTGCAAAATGTAATTGACAATTTTTTAAAATACTTATTGAATAAACTTTGCATTATTCAGATTTCTAAAACTGCCACAGTTTGGGTTCAGGTAAAGAAAGTTCTGAAATATCAGTGAGCACTCCAATATTTAAGCTGTAAAAGTATTTCATTATTTGCAAAGCTCCGAGGTTCTTAAGGGTAGAGTTCAACAGAGTACTTTGTCACAAGATCCAAAATTATTTCTCTTGTGATGCCCAAGTCTATTAGGTTTTGATGCTCAGGAGCTCTATAGACATTTAGACAGTAGGAAAAGGTTCTTCACCCAGAGGGTGGTTGGTCACTGGAACAGGCTCCCCAGGGAAGAGGTCACAGCACCAGCCTGGCAGAGGTCAAGAAGTGTTTGGACAACACTCTCAGGCACATGGTGTGACTCCTGGGGATGGTGCTGTACAGGGCCAGGAGTTGGACTTGAGCAACCTCATGGGTCCAGTCTAACTCAGCATATTCTGTAATTGTGTGAACTATAACTTAGAACTTTGAAATATTTACATCTCTAATAGTGTGCTTTTTAAGATACTGTTTTAAAATTGTGCTCAGCTGCAAAAGTCACTTTTACAAGATCAGCTTTTAAAAATTTATTTATTTTAAAAATTATTTATCTATTTACATTAGGCTAGGAGGGTATGTCCTTTTCTTCCAGATACAAACCAAGAAAACTTGGCTTAAAAACTGTCAGCTCAAAATCAGGATTATAATAAAACTCTACAGTTACTTATCAAATGAACTCAGAAACTAAATCCACTGCAGAAATGTAGTTATCTCCTTGAAAGAAACTTTTCACCACAAACATAAGACATTGTACTCCAGTAAATGTCCTTCCTGTAAGTGCCATGTGAAGTGGAGTAGTTTTGATCCACATAACCATCAAACAGTCTAGACACACTGTTTAAGCCTTTATGTTTTCTGAAAGAAAATTCTTCAGCTTGTTCTTTAATAGAAACTGTAATTTCAGAATTCTTCTCCACCACACAAATTTTCAGAAAGTGCAGTAATGCCCAATTTTCTTCCAAGGCTACAAGGAGGATAGCCTGGTCTGCATTAACACTGGATCTTTTTTGTCCATCTATTTTGTTTACAAAACTTGCTAAGGTTTGGTTGGGGTTTTGTTTGTTGCTTTTTTCTTTGTAGTACTGATGATATTTAATGTATGGCCAACACAGTTAGGGGAGCTCTTTATTGTCCATCTGCCTAAACACAGAAATCTGCAAAGTTCCCATCAATGCGTTTGATTTAGAGGTGTGAAAGGAACCGTAATAACAGGAGAACATCCAGTTACCAGGGTTTTGCCTTTTTATTTTTATTACAGTATGCAACCTAGCACAAAGATAAATTTTGATACACCCATAAAGTGTTTATTTTCAAAAGCCTTTTATGAATCATATATAGTACTTAAAAGATGATGACCAACAAATGAACAACTGGGCTATTGGCAACCTACAGGGAAGTTTGTGAAGTCTGAAATTACATCAGCTACTGCTGTTGAAAGTCGGTACATTATCTGACATTTAATTATCACATATTCTGGTTACTCAAGAAGAATTTGAAGTAGTTCATCCTACTGTAACAACTTAAATGACAGATATGCTGAATCTAGTAAACATGCCAGTTCTCAAACTTATCTTGATGGTAAATGTATGATTTTGCAAGGAAAACAGATAGGAATGAGACTTGACAAGGGAGGGGAAAAGAGGTTAGCAGTCATCTCACCACCCCAGCCTTTTTGTGTACTAAACTTCCTTGCAGTCTTTACAGAAACAGATACAACACAAGCTATTCACAAAGCTCCAGCATCATTTCAAAAAACAGAACTATAGGAAGTCAAGAGTGCATCCTTAATTCTTACTGTTAACTCAAGTTTTATTATTATTGAAACCTTTCTTTTTTTTTTTCTTTTTTTTCATTAACTAGTTTCTGGATGACTATTATGACTTCCACTGTAATTCAGTAAACCTATTTTTAGTGAGCTACCAAATAAAACTTTAGCT